CTAGCGGACCAGCCTCAAAAGCGTCAACAAATCTAAGCAGGCACCAAACTTGCAGGCATGTGGTTCCAATCACAATCCTATGGCATCATCAACCTCTTTACAGACATTTATTATATCATGTACAAATAATTAAAACAATGGTCCTAATTTGTGTTTACGATCTCTGCGCATTGTCAAGGTTTGACAAATGTGTGTGATGTGCTCATTTATCGGCATGATGATGTCATATGTACGTAATTATGTAAATTGTTTATTGTCAGTTATCACTTCTTGAATATTTAAATTAAATGAATAAATGTTGGTATACGCTCACAATATCATAGCAGAGACATGTAGCCAAATATGACATCCTTAATATAGGCATAATGATAAATTATTATTCCCATATATGGGCATAATGATAAATTATTATTCCCGTAAGTTTGCGGCCTGCAGCGTAATATTATAATGCATAACATTTTAAATCTCTTTTAAAATGATTGGTGGTAGGTGTCTCAGTCGATTTATCGGCATGATGATGTCATATGTACGTAATTATGTAAATTGTTTATTGTCAGTGATCACTTCTTGAATATTGAAATTGAATGAATAAATGTGCATAATGTTAAATTATTATTCCCATATTATTATTATTCCCATATATGTGCATAATGATAAATTATTATTCCCATATATGGGCATAATGATAAATTATTATTCCCATATATGTGCACAATGATAAATTATTATTCCCATATATGGGCATAATGATAAATTATTATTCCCATAATATTATGTGCATAATGATAAATTATTATTCCCATATATGGGCATAATGATAAATTATTATTCCCATATATATGTGCATATTGATAAATTATTATTCTCATATTTGAGCATAATGATAAATTATTGTTCCCATATGGCATAATGGTGTAATAAGTTAGTAATACGTAATTCATACCGATACCCATATATTTCACAGGTTTGAATTGCATAAAATTTTATATTGTGGATAGTTTCAAAATGTGGGAAACATATTCAGTTAAAATATTGAATTTCTCATCCAAGAGATCAAATAAATTATCAACTCCAAATGCGACAGATTTCAAAACAATTTACGAACATTTTATTACACAATCCATAAATTGATTACCAGCCAATTTAAATGGTATATATAAAAGAAAATAGGAACGGTTCTGTTTATACAACAGTTACTACAGACGCGTACATATATATTTGTTTATACATATGTTAATTTGTGAGGATAATATTTTTCCGTTCCATTTCAACTGCAGGCTGAACCATGGAGTAAAATGTACAAAGTAAGCAACTTAAACTGAATTCAAATTAGATTTTATTGTTCAATCTTATTAGCGCAAAGCAGCTGGCTGCCTTTAATGGATGAAGATGTAGACCGGATGTACATAAGTAAATTTCTAGCGCCTGTGTCATGCCAATTTAGGTACCATTGCCAAATTACATTCCGAATTTAATTTAGTTGATATCAATGCATTTTACAGACAATATGAGGACGAATTTTTCTTCGTTTACCTAATTTATACAAATCGAATTATTTACGACGGAATACAAATTGAATGTGTTTTATTAATTTTGATTTATGTTTAGTCGAATAGATGTCGTTATAGCGTGTCTTGTTTTGAAAGAAATACAACGTGTATCATATAAATTTAGTAAGCAAAATCAGGGGAAAAAAGTCCATTCACAGAATGGTAAACAAAAAGAAGATGCACATGTCGGCAATTGTACCCGTAATGCTATGACACCGCTCATCGGGGGGTGGAGGGTGGTTCATTGATTTCTGGGGGTCCAAATTCATATCTATCTGGGGACGCTTAAGTAAAGATACCGGAAGCTCGGATATATTTTATATGTATATTCATTCTTTCGGCCTGTTATGTTTTAATGTGTTGTTGGTGTTTGGTTGTCCGTTACTGTTGAGCGTAGTTTTATCAACACGACCAATGTTTTTTTTTTTATATGTTTACTTTATTTTATATCGCAAATAAAGTCGTAAATATATGTTTTTGATGAGGAATGAATTCTGTACACGATGAGGAATTAAATAGCACCAATATTTGCATAGATGGTCTATAAACTTTCATATAATTTCAGGGGAGTTGCAATTTGTATATATTTTCAATTAGTTCGCTACGAGTCATTTTATAAGCAAAAACAACTTTATGGATTATCAATTAATTATTGAGAATAGTACTGGTGTACCGGAACTGCGAAGCTGTGGTAAAGGTGACTGCTAAGCCTATTTAATTCGGCCTTTCTGTTGTCTGTTAAAGCGGTTAAAGGTAAAGATTTTGTCGCCAAATATCACAGAGAATTCTACCGCATCCCGCTTAGGTTCGGCCTAGCCATAATTCAATATGAATACCTTAGGTCGGGGGAGGAGGAGGCAGTCAAATTTACTGGGGAGGGGGCAAACAGAAATCCCTGACACCGCTCTTAATTGGTAAAGAACAAGTTCGAAATAACAAGATCGTATTAATGCGGGGTGGAGCGTCGTTCGTAGGGTGGCGGAAGTATTGTGCGGAACTGTCGGATATCGTTGTGCGATGTATTAAACGCAGTGTGCTTTTTTATTTTGCTTTGAAGTTGAGAACACTGATTGTTTTGCAACTCTAATTCTTTAAATGTATTAAAATATTAGGGCCAGTGGCCTATTTATTGATGATGAATAAAGCCCCATTTAGGCGCCGCCGAACGAAGAGTGCTTCGACTAAACCATCACCAATTTCTGATCTTCAAGCACTGAGCCTTCCAGCGGCTTATTCTTTCAATTTCGCCCAGTGTTCGTGTCTTTAAATGAACGTAATTATTTTGAATTTAAAATAGGAATATTGTCTTTGGTGAAAGTAAAAAGATTGAAGCAGTTCGTTTTTCAGTGATTTTAGACTTTCTACTACAAAAATCCATAAATGCATTACTAGCCAGTTCAAAGGTCTATACAAAAATAGGGCACTTTCTATTGCGCGACCACGTGGCCTTACGTCGGATTCATTTATTTTGTCCGTGATCGTTCTACAATCTATGCACAAACTACGTTACGTCATTATGCCCCAATGCATAATCGGTGTTCTTTTAATTTCCCCTATTGTCGAGGAAAAAGATTAAACTAAATATGTAAAGTATGCAGTGTTTTCAAGACAGTATCCCGTATAGAAGCTTTGTTGATTATGAAAAATACATTTATCAATAGAAATCAAATACCATACATAAGCTAAAGGTCTCTAAGTCTATGCACATTTTATTCAACATATCTTATAACCTGGCCTACAAGATTAACGTTTACAGTAAAAGTGGATTTATTGAAGGGGAAAGCATTTCCCCCGATAAACCAATACAAGAAATATAAAGTAGAAGGGAGGAAGAAGACCCATTTTTGGACGTCACTTTTTAAAGATTAGGTCGATATGCTCGTAATAGATTTCAATGAAACAAAAATAATTGAGACAGCGGAAATTGAAACCCAACGGAAATGATAAAACTATGTATTTTTTTTTACTTGGCCTTAAGCTTTGCACGCACTGCGTCAACTGATGCACTGGCGGTCGGCTGACGAATCCGTCTGCTTGGCAAGTTGAGGAGGGGAAGGGTGTTGGTGGCCCTTCCTCGCGCACCTATCAAGCATATAATTGGCGGAAAAAGACAAACGAGGATGATGTGCCTTATTCAACGAGCCCTACAACCGCTGCACCAACACGCTCTCACAAAATAGGCCTACATTCTGAAGTCCCGTCCAAAGACTATTAAATTTTATTTTACAAAAGCATGTGACAAAACAAAACGAGCGCGTATTGGTTGTCAAGCAATTTTGTATTCTTTACCACACAAAAAGTCCTTAACAACAACAGCGCGTATTTTGACGCGCTTTCTTGATTTCACTAACTAACATAATCTACTTTGATTGTGTTAGTTCGTGATGTGAGCAACGAAATATGGTCATGACCATAATTATATAGGCACATCATGTCTATGTATGTGCATACAACAGTGATAACCTTGACAGAGATTTTGTGCTAATTTGTAGGCTATAAATTCAACCAGGGTTGGGTGGCTGATCTAATTCTATTTAAACTTTATATAATTAACATTTTGTACTCAGCACTCACGCAGTAGTAAATTAACGTCGATGACATACGGTCGTGAGATTACCACTTAAGCAAATTAATGCAATTTTTATTGAATCGATAATGATTTAGCCCAGCGGCAAAACAAAGGGAAAAATATGCCACTTTTATTATTAATCATGAAGATTAATGTGTATAATTTATGTATATAG